GTGTGTCACAAATTGATGTGTGTGTGTGTGTGTGTTGTGAAAATGGTGTGTGTGTCATGTAAATCGATATGCCTTTGGAATCTTGCCAACCCACTGGGTTTTTTTCCTTTTTTCCTGTCATTTCTAGCAGGCACCGCGCTGCTATTTGGCTAGCAGGGGCTATAGCCCCTCCACCTTTTTTGCAATAATTGGTTAGAGAACTTTTTGGAAAGTTGAATCTATGCTTTAAGGGAACATTGGATAGTATACTCCTAAGTAGTAGCAGTTCTTTTTGACTGGGAATCTATCATGTTGACTTTCTAGATGTTTTTCTTGACGTTTTATTATCTCCAAGCTAATTTTATCTATTTTTATAGCTATTGAAATCTTCTCTAAACCAGATTGTTTATAAAATCCCAGAAGAAATAAGCAAGTATTTTCTAAAGGGCAGTTTTTGGCGTTCTAGAGGGCGTGGCCTAAAAACTTTTCAGAAACGCCCTTTTCAGCCCTCCCACATTACTCACGTTTCTACATTTCTTCAATCGAAAAGGTTAACGTCGTCACAAATCCTAGCGAGGGGCAATTCACTCTTGAAAATAGCGTGCGACATATTCCCTAAAACAAAAGGATTTCTGAGGATTTTCAGATAAAACAATTGGATTTTCACAAAGGGTGTACGATATTTTCTTGGAGTGATTTGCCCCTCGAATCCTAGTAAATTCTTTTTTGAGAGTATTTCTTAAGAATATTAGGGTACTCAGAATCAAACTTAATACCGTTTTTTTCAGAAACGTGTTTTCGATCCAGGGTGGCTATTTTCTTGGCAGCCTTTCCACTAGCCTGGGTTAAAACATACCCGGGTTAAAAGTTATCCGTTTTTAAAGTGACTCAATGGAAACGGCATTTTTCTACGACCCGTTTTTAATCCGTTTTTGATCGTTCCCACTAAGCCGGGTTAAAATGTATTCATGGTGAAAAGTTGTAAGAGAAATCAGTATTTGCATTAAAATCCTTCAATTTCTATCGTTGTAGGCCAATGGAAGCAACATCGATATCCAGGATTTTGTTTTTTGATTTTTGGCGCCGTCTCAAGTTTTAAACGTTGTTGTTGTTGCAAGTGGATCAAAAGTTATCCGGGTTCGGCGTTTCCATTAACTCGCAGGTGAGTCAAAAGATACCCGGGTAAAAACTGACCCATGGGTTACAACACATCCGGGTTAAAAGTTATCCGTTTCTGCGTCGCGTTCCTACTAACCCACTTGAAAAACGGATAAGTTTGAAAACAGGTCTCAAAGTGGGTCAGCTTTTACCCGGGTATCTTTTGACTCATTACTTAGATAAAACATGAATCAAAACTATGGATGAAAATTTGCATAAAAAGAGGTATAAATAAAGAATATTCCTGGGAATTCAGAGCCTGGAGAAATCCCGAACTAGGCCGGCTTTAGAAGGTACCTTTCAGAGTTGTTTTAATGTTCGCAAGTTTTTAAAAATATAATTTTCGCGAATTTAGATCTGCAAAATTTTTTTAAAATTTTTGCTTTGCTCTCCTTTTCAAATGAATGTATAGCGAAAGGCTGGGAGAGGGAAATGTGAGAAGTGACGTATAGAGGGGCTCAGAGAGGTGGTGACACAGGAGGGCAGGGGCCTAAAAATCTTTAAATTATAGGTGATATCATTTATGATCCTGCCATGAATGTCAAATGTCTTGTCTACACTATACTATCGAGCCTTGTTTCCGCCTGGGTAATGGGTAGAATGAAACCGAGCAATATTTTCTGTAGTTGACTCGGCCTAAGTTGACTCGGCCTAAGTTGACTCGGCCTAAGTTGACTCGGCCTAAGTTGACTCGGCCTAAGTTGACTCGGCCTAAGTTGACTCGGCCTAAGTTGACTCGGCCTAAGTTGACTCGGCCTAAGTTGACTCGGCCCGGGCTGACTCGGCCCGGGCTGACTCGGCCCGGGCTGACTCGGCCCGGGCTGACTCGGCCCGGGCTGACTCGGCCCGGGCTTCGGCGCGGGCTACTCGGCCCGGGCTGACCTCGGCCGGGCTGACTCGGCCCGGGCTGACTCGGCCCGGGCTGACTCGGCCCGCGGCCTGACTCGGCCCGGTGACTCGGCCCGGGCTGACTCGGCCCGGGCTGACTCGGCCCGGGCTGACTCGGCCCGGGCTGACTCGGCCCGGGCTGACTCGGCCCGGGCTGACTCGGCCCGGGCTGACTCGGCCCGGGCTGACTCGGCCGGGCTGACTCGGCCCCGGGGCTGACTCGGCCCGGGCTGACTCGGCCCGAGGCCTGACTCGGCCCGGGCTGACTCGGCCCGGGCTGACTCGGCCCGGGCTGACTCGGCCCGGGCTGACTCGGCCCGGGCTGACTCGGCCCCGGGCTGACTCGTGACTCGGCCCGGGCTGACTCGGCCCGGGCTGACTCGGCCGGGCTGACTCGGCCCGGGCTTGACTCGGCCCGGGCTGACTCGGCCCGGGCTGACTCGGCCCGGGCTGACTCGGCCGGGCTGACTCGGCCCGGGCTGACTCGGCCCGGGCTGACTCGGCCCGGGCTGACTCGGCCCGGGCTGACTCGGCCCGGCCTGACTCGGCCCGGGCTGACTCGGCCCGGGCTGACTCGGCCCGGGCTGACTCGGCCCGGGTGACTCGGCCCGGGCTGACTCGGCCCGGGCTGACTCGGCCCGGGCTGACTCGGCCCGGGCTGACTCGGCCCGGGCTGACTCGGCCCGGGCTGACTCGGCCCGGGCTGACTCGCCCGGGCTGACTCGGCCCGGGCTGACTCGGCCCGGGCTGACTCGGCCCGGGCTGATCGGCCCGGGCTGACTCGGCCCGGGCTGACTCGGCCCGGGCTGTACTCGGCCCGGGCTGACTCGGCCCGGGCTGACTCGGCCGGGCTGACTCGGCCCGGGCTGACTCGGCCCGGGCTGACTCGGCCGCGGGCTGCTCGGCCCGGGCTGACTCGGCCCGGGCTGACTCGGCCCGGGCTGACTCGGCCCGGGCTGACTCGGCCCGGGCTGACTCGGCCCGGCTGACTCGGCCCGGGCTGACTCGGCCCGGGCTGACTCGCGCCGGGCTGACTCGGCCCGGGCTGACTCGGCGGGCTGACTCGGCCCGGGCTGACTCGGCCGGGCTGACTCGGCCCACGGGCTGATCGGCCCGGGCTGACTCGGCCCGGGCTGACTCGGCCCGGGCTGACTCGGCCCGGGCTGACCTCGGCCCGGGCTGACTCGGCCCGGGCTGACTCGGCCCGGGCTGACTCGGCCCGGTGCTGACCTCGGCCGGGCTGACTCGGCCCGGGCTGACTCGGCCGGCTGACTCGGCCCGGGCTGACTCGGCCCGGGCTGACTCGGCCCGGCTGACTCGGCCCGGGCTGACTCGGCCCGGCTGACTCGGCCCGGGCTGACTCGGCCGCGGGCTGACTCGGCCCGGCTGACTCGGCCCGGGCTTGCCTCGGCCCGGGCTGACTCGGCCGCGGGCTGACTCGGCCCGGGCTGACATCGGCGGCCCGGGCGGACTCGGCCCGGGCTGACGCGGCCCGGGCTGACTCGGCCCGGGCTGACTCGGCCCGGGCTGACTCGGCCCGGGCTGACTCGGCCCGGGCTGACTCGGCCCGGGCTGACTCGGCCCGGGCTGACTCGGCCCTGACTCAATGCGAAAGAGGGTTGAGCCCTGTTAACTTTTCTACTGCGCATGCGGAATAAGGTTGCGAATTGAAAAAGGCGCCAATCTTTTCTGCCTCTTTTCGCACAGCTTGTGCTTTCTATTAGAATTTAAGGTGACGGTAAACGTTTTGTGGACAAAACCATTTTTCGATTTCTCCACTTTTTAGAGCCGAACTTTTAAGGCACACAATTATAACAATGTTTGAAACTAGCAGAAGTTTTGAAATTGCAAAAAATTCCATGTAAACGGAAGTTTCCATAACTTCTTTATCAAACTACTAGTTGAGGTCTGAAAATCTCTTGACCTGTTAAGCCGATTATCGTTATTTTGCGGTTGTGGTCGCATGTCTCATTTACAATATCGCATGGCACATCCATGTATCCAATGTATGACTGTGTTTATTCCAACAGGCTTATTGATCTTAAAGCCTCAAGTGACTTGACCCGGATTTCACTGTGGTTTACGAGTGTAGCTTGCAAGTGCGAATAGTAAAATTTTGTTTCTACGGACTTACAACTCCTCTACATACAGGTACGAAAAAGCTATTTTGTACCCAAGGAACTAATCGAATGGCTCAAAAATTTGCACATGGCCAGGACAGATGTCGGGTAAGCAAATTATGTCTTAAATTTGTGTAGCTGGGAATCAGTTTAATGCGATTTTGACGCCAGACCGCCCCTGGGTGTGGTTTTGAAATACTTTAAAAATATCAATGATTATAGAAAATCAGAAATTGGTATCCGAAATCAGAAACCAGAATTATCCAAATAGAAAATCAGAAATTGAAATCAGAAATCAGAATTATCCAAGCATTGAATTATGACCTATTTTCGGCTTTTTCTAGAGTTTGGCCTAGATATTTCATAGCAGTTTCTGTAAACAAACAAAGAAAAAGTAACTAAATTACATCTTTGTACAAATGTGTTAAGAAATTAATGCATTGAGTGGCTAAACATTGTTGCTGGATCCGTTTTAAAACAGATCAATCATTATTTTCTGGAATTTTGGCGAGACAGAAAACACCACAGCAAGCACCGCCCAGTCTGTAGAGTGTGGCTGACGCACGCGCGAGGTCAGGATAGTGCTGCACGCCAAAATTTTCTGATTGAACATCAAATTTACTATAGCGCTATTAAAAAAACTTAGATTTGCACGCAAAATGATCAGTAAAGAAAGGTTTGCACGCAGAAAACATGGCGTGAATGAGTACTGCACGCGCGAGATCTCGTCGAGAACTGCCATACTCTGCAGACAGGAGCACCACGACTGTAAATTCTTGGAATTTGAGAACGACGGCTTATTTTTCCAATATCAACATCAATTCATAAATTTAAGTGCAATATAAGGCCACTCACCAAATTTCACATCGATTTTCGAAAGAGAAGTGAACGAAATCAATCCTTACTTTTACCAAATTTATAAGGGCTCGGTATGGAGCAAGTTCCTTTTTGCCACTATTCAAAATGGCGGAAGTAAACAAATTCGCCTCACAGCGGACCTGTGAGCTAGACATCTAGCGCCTTCGGCGCTTCAATATCATTGCATTCCCTCAAATTATTTTGGTACATGTGGGGCTGGAAACATGGCGGACAGCTAAGGGAAAATTCGCAATTTGACATTAGCGAAACACAGCAATTGTTGGTTGAAGTGAATAGAAGTTTTTAAGTGCTTGGGATTGCAATGGCTTTTAGCTCTTGTTGTTTTTTAGTAAAAATTGTCCCTAGGTGATCATCGGCGTCACCAGCAGACAACACACACAGAGATAAACATTTTGGGTGGATGCCTTGCTATTTTATTTCTACAGTACCGCGTGCCAAGATGCATTGTCTCTGCAAGCAAAAATTTGTCGAAAGTACTTTCTGCAGACTCGTCGAGCCAATACGAGTTTTGGCTCTTCAGCATTCAAGAATTAGAGTTGCTTCTCTGAGACAGAACTCACTAACTAGGGGCCCTACGAAAATGAGGACTTTGTGCAGCTTGAGTGGAATATCAGCAAGAAATGTTAGTAGTAAGAAAGCTGCTACGGGTAAAGATTCAAATGCAACTAGAGAAAGTACAATCGAGGATCTTGAAAAGTCCGAGTTTCTTTCATTAGGAGTTTCGAAGCAATTAGTAAATAGACTGAAGGAATCTGAAATAACAGAGCCAGTTGAGATCCAGTCACTTTCATTGAGGGCAATATCAGTGTATAGAAATGTTGTTATTCATTCTGAAACTGGGTCTGGAAAAACATTAGCTTATTTGCTGCCAGTTATTCAACAAGCAAAACACATTTGCCATACAATAATTGCAGTACCAACAAGAGAACTTGCATACCAGGTTTATATAGAAGCAAGAAAACTTACACCTAAAAGTGACCTGGCTTGCTATGTAAGTTTTAATTTTCTATTAGAAAAGCATGCTTTTTAAATTGCAGGTGCCAATGGTTTATATATTTCCCTATGGAACGGTTCAGTGGAAATAACATCTAGATCAAATATAAACTATAAATGGAAACTGAAATCAGTACTCACTTGAATTCTCCAAAGAACAAAGCCTGTGACATTGGTGTAAGTTCTGACCTAATTACAAATTTGCAGTGTCTCAGACACAAGGATGGCAGCTGTATATGGTTGTCAACTTTTCAACATTAAAATTTTAGTATTTTGACTACTCCTTGCAAACTTGTAAGCAACCATAACAACATCTTGATTGCATTCCTAGGTATCAAAGCCTGGCATTGAAAATGAGTATGAAAACCTGAAGCAGAAACCACCAAAAATCGTAATAGGAACACCAAAAATACTTCTGTCTATAATAAGGGATCACGAGTACCTCTTTTCCAATGTAAGACGGATCGTCACTGATGAAATAGATAAAATGTTACCACCTCTGCCAAAGGGTTTTAAGAAGTTGCTGAGAAGGAGGGAGAAAAGCCCGAAACCACTTACTGTACTTCTTGCTGTGATTCAAGGAATTGCTAAGGTATGACAAAATTTAACAGGATTTAGTAAAATTACAAATTCATAGTTTGTATTTATTGTAATTTTAGTAATTTGATGCATTTGTGTTTGATGTGAAGTTTCAAAAATAACAATGCACTGCAATTATGATATTCAGTCAAAGTAATTGCTTGATTTCAAATGTTTAAGAACCTACTCATTAAAACATTTATAATTATGCACAGGCTACACTCTGTACATCTTCTAAGTTACTCTTGTATCAATAATATTTGTAAAAAATTTTCTTCCCCTGTCTGAAATAGAAACGAGTACAACATATAGCTTGCTCTGCAACTGTCAACCAACAAATGATTGATACTCTAAAGGACATTGGATGGGGTTTTGGACTCAAGGTGATTAAATCTGATCAGTGCAATGAAAGATCAGCAGTTGTACCAGAATGTATCAAGCATAACTATCTGATGATACCAGATGAAAGCTATGACACAAAAGCTGCTGCTCTTTCCAAGTGAGACTTATATTCAAATGAAAATACTTTTAAACTAACTGAAAATACTCTTAAACAACATCATTCTAATCTTCATTAATCCATCAAGAACAAAGTTTATGAAAATATCACAGTGCTATATTTAGCAAAAGGGGGCAGCCTATTTTGAAAAATCTAAACTTTGTTTGGAAGAAAATCATGCCACCATTAATTATTGCAAGATTTCCGTCTCTAAATGCTGAAACTAAAGTGAATTCCTGTTATCTAGCCACAAAAGTCCAAAATTACTCCATTTTAACACCTGCAAAAAGGGAAATTTTTACCTTCGGATGCTAGGTAGAAACAAATAGAAAAGGTAGAAACAAATTTCACATTCTAGGCAAATAAATAGGCAATAACATAGATAAATTATATTGCGAAAGATTTTCATCACTGTAAAACCTCTTTTCTTTGTCTTTAGAGTATTTATCAAAACTGGGAAAAAGCCAGTATTGGTGTTTGTACATAAAGACCATTCAACCAGTGACTATGTTGCTGAAATGAGAGACCTCAACTTGAATGCAGTTGCCCTTTACAAGGAGCTTTTAGGTGGTCAAATTCAAAGCATCAAACAATTTTTACAAGATTTCAGAACAGGTTTGTACCATGTAATTCCAAGTTAGAAGGTACAAATTATGTTAAGTGTTTGTTACTAACAACCAAGCTATGTGGTGTCCTTGTGCCTTATTCAATGCAGATTTTCAAGTGAGAATAACATTAGATTAATATGGTAACTTAACCATAACTATCAAGGATATTGCTAGAAATTTTTCATATTGAAAGGAAACAACTTAAGTGGCTTAGGCTGGTTCTTTATTCAAGAATTTTTTAGTCAGTTCAACATCTTTGCAAACAAACTGTGCCACTAATAATTAAGTATGCTGTTAATGCTCATTTATATGCTGATGATACAGTGTGATTGTAATTGTGATAAATGATGATTCGTGATGGTGATATGATCATTGGCAATATGGTGATTCATGATGTTAATGATTTATGACAATGATTTCTGATAATGATTTATGATTAAAATGATTAATGATGATGTGATAACAGTGGTTGTATTTTTGATAATGATGGTGATGACTTGTGATGATTTGTGATGACTTTTGATGATGATTCTGATTTTTTCTGCTCTGATCTTTAAGGGAAAATATCTGTGGTAGTGGCATCCGAAGAAGAAGTTCGTGGATTGGATTTCAAGGAACTTGACCATGTGTTTCTTTTCAACGTGCCAAGATCAGCAGAAGAATATTTGCATTTAGCTGGAAGAATTGGACGTTTGGGGAGAGAAGGAATGGTCACAACATTAATACCAGAGTTGAATGAACCTGCATTTGAAAGACTACAGTCAATATATAATGAATTAGGTGTTTCTCCAAAAAAGATTGTTACTTAAAATCAGTAAAAATTTGACTGATGATAACAATGGATGTGTAAGCTTGACAAGCTGAGCAGAATTGTTAAACTTTCTTTGATTCCTGAATAAGAAATGTTGCAAAGGATAAGAACTTTTGCTTTCACTTTATCATTTGCTTAAAACATCTAACATTTTCTTTTCTTGAGACTTGCTACACATTTTATGCAAATGACATTGTCTTAATAGGGAACTTTTTCCTTAATGAAAAAACGTTGTATTTTTCGTAGCACTTTATGAAAAATCTCATCCTGAAACCTATTTAATCTTAAATAGCATCTATCAGACTTTGAAGAGCATTTCTTAACATGGAAGATCTTTGAAAACATCCCTCAGGCCAATCAGACCTTAAAATCCCACATGCCTACCCACCTGTAACATTCGCACCATAAATAATTGTTAGTCAGTAATATAAATATAAAGACCAAAATGAACACCCTAAAAGCGTATGTATAATCAGTTTTTACTCATGGATTCGAGATATGGATCATAGGAAAAGTGATAAAAGACAAAATACACGCATTTGCGCCAGGGGGTTACCTGAGAACCCTGAAAATCAAATCGACAGATAGAATTAGAAATGAGGAAGTATTACAAAAAATGCACACAGCCCCTAAACTGAACGACACCATTGCAAAAAGGAAAGCTGCCTATTTAGGACATGTTGCGAAAGGATCAAGTGGCACAGGACTTTGTAACATCGTAGGGAGGTTATTTCAGGTAGAATATCTCAGAAGGATATGGATAGATGATGTAAAAGAGTGGGCGAACATCTGGAACAATGATATGCTGAAATAACTGTCTAATGAAAGGGCTTCGTGGACAAAAATGGCTAGCGACCTACTGACCACATTGATGCTCTGAATGAATGAACTCAGAAAACTCTAAATGTGCTGGTTTTTTTATTGAGCGTCAGCAAATTTACGCATTGTCTTGCTTTAGGTTTGCGAATGTCTGGAAAATTTAACGATTAAAAGTCTGGGACCTAAATAACGAAGAGAAGGCCAAATAATTAGACAGGCAGCGAGCTTTCAACATAAGTTTCCAACGAAGGGTTCCAAAAATGGGCACTTGACCTAGTATTTGCATTGAAGCCCCGTCTGCTTCCATGATCACTGAGTAAAGCTGAACAATTAAGGTGCGAGAAACCAAATAAGGATATCTTGAAAATTCTCAGAAATAGCTAAAAGGCAAATTATGGCAATGAGGAAAGTCCGGTGCTGAGAAAAAGTGTATGATGATTATCATTTAATATATAAATCTATTTATAAAAAGGAATTTTCTTGCAGCCTGTAGCTAAAAACCAACAAGATTCAGTCACTGATCTTCGTAGCGAGATATCTTACAGAAAAGTCAAGTTTCACTATATTTTAATTGCTTGTATTCGAGAGGTCCTGAGTGTTATTCCAACTTTGTCATGTGACACCATTTCCACAGTTTCAAAATATTGTTTCATTTTCATAGATAAGTTGTGATGAACCTGCAATGCAAAACACAAGATACAGGCATTCATGTTCAAGAGAAATATCATACTAGGCATTTCATAGCAAGTTTATGGGATTTCTTTAGGAGCTAAGCTGATGAGGAAAACTGAAGAAATGTTGGCACAAACATATCTAGGTGCTCCTTTTATTTGATACCTCTATAGCCCTGCAAAGAACACAGAACCCTTACGCGTGTCTATAATTCTAAAAAAGACCCCCTTTTTCGCTGACATACTTCATATACACTGACTAAATGTTGACCCCTAACTATTAAAAAGACTCATATTAAAAATAATATATCATAAAACAAGTCAAATATAGTTCATAATTTGCTTTTTGTAATAGTTATTCAAATAGTTTCTACCTTTAACTAGGCCAAAACATGATCTGGTTTGTGGCAAGTGCCCTTTAAATATTTCGTTGATTCAGTGTATCAAAAACCCTTTTTCAAGAATCTTTGACCCAGAGCATGCATAATATTAACAGTTCTAAGTTTTTTTACCTGTCGCAATTTGGAGTCGCCATATTTGTCTTTCAAAAGTACAACCAGATGATCAAGTGCAGAATATGGAAGCCAAACAGCTGGAGAATTCACATGTAATGCATCCTGTGAATAATCAAGCAATTGAGAAATCTATGAACAGATCTCAAAAAGTTTTTTAAAATGATCTATTACATAAATTCATAGGGAGAGGTACAAAAAGATTGACAAACTCTGCAATCTTACGATTTTCTGTTGTCTAAGACTTTTTTGTTCACAAAATTTTATTAATATCTGAAAAAATGAGATTGACATCGTTGATTATATATCGAATAACCCTATGTGACAATGTCACAGATTGCCCTGTAAAACTTATGAAGACAGTTTTATTGTTTCGTATGTGTTCCTTTAAGTCAGTCCACCTTGTAAAAAAGCACTGCCAACAATTAAAATACTTGTAATCAGGCAATCGACAGACACTGAACTGGCCTAAGTCATCTGCCAATCATCTATTGACAAATAAAAAAACATGTGATTGCTATTCTGCCAATTGATTGGTCAATTTTGATTGAAAGGTGGTTTAAGCATTTGTAGTATGTGTTGATTGCCTTTGATACATCTAAGCTTTGTATTATAAATTTTTTCCTCTTTATTCGAGAGTTTTTTTACTGTTATTACCTACCTTTAGACCAAAGTTTTCTTTTCCAACCCCTAAAACTGCATTCACATACTCAACAGCAAGGTCCCCAGCCTCTTCGAGCAAATCAAAGTTAATAAGAATTCGCAAAAGTTCTGCAGCATTTCTCTGTTTGTAGTCATGTACAAACCAAGTTGGAAGACTGTACCCTAAAGACAAGAGCTTTATAGCAACTGATTTGTGATACACTGGCCCATTTATTTTTGTGAATTTGTCGAGGTAGCTCCTGAGAAGTCTCCATGTTTGTTCTACTGCACTAGAGGAAACAAAAAACAAGCAAATGATGAAATATTATTTAATCAATTTAATTTAATCATAATTGATCAGATAACACTCTTTTGTACAGCACAATTGACACTCATGAAAGGGGTCTGAAAATGATGTTTGAAGATTTGCTTGCAAAGACTACACTTTAGGAGAACAGATCTGGCCCTACGATTTTAGTAATTTCTAGGAAAGCTTTTTGTAGATGAATAAGAAAAAAACAATAGAACAATTTATTTTTTTCAAAGACGAGCAATTCGCTTTTTAAGCAATTTAGACGAGCCTGGAGGGAAGCAAGAGCTATGGCTCTCCTCAAATGGCTAGGCCTGTACAACTACTAAATGGAGCTCTACAAAGAAGAGCCTCCACAGGGAAGTAAGAACAAATATATATTGTTTAGCTCAACCAACATCAATGCAAGAACATCTCAAACAAACATGGTAACATCACATTGTAGGTGTCTTATAGAGAGTGAAACTTGCACGGTCACTTGTTTAAGGAGATTCAAAAGAGATTTAGAGTATTGCTGTATTGTAAAGAATACTCATAAACTAAACAACATAAAGTTTTAACACTGGATAAAATTTCCTGAACAGTTTTTTAATTTGTTTGTGTAGGTATTTTTCAGCACAACCATTCTCTGTCAATTTACATTCATTTTGAAATTGAGTATTTGATTAGCTCTATGAGTCTAAAAACTTTAAAAATTTCAAAAAGTTGAGACAAGCATTTTAGGATAAATTGAGAGAAATTTTTAGGATAAATTGAGACATGAGACATGCAATTTACGTGTAAGATTTATTTTAAAACCAGATCAGTGATTGATGTGCTAAATAAGGGTAGGAAAAAATCTATTTCAAGAAAAAAACAAACAAGGTTATGCAAAAAGCAAGTTAACGATACAAGAAAAGCCTTTACACAAGTAAGTAAAATACCTGACATCATTAATGCTCTGTGTCAAACCAGTGTCATTAGCAGTCAACCAGTTGAAAGCTTGGTCCATTGCCAAACTAGAACAAATGGTAGTTTAATTAGAATCACAAAACCTTAAGATCCAGTCTAGCGACTCCCACAACACAGAGATGGTAACTAACTGTCCCAACTGTAGACAGTGAATCGAAGAAGGCGAAACGTAAATTGAAGAAAGCAATAGGTATACAAAAAATTGTCACAATAACATTGCTGCACAATAATTTTCAGCTTTATTCAAGTGTGTCACAATTAAATCACAAAAAGGAAAGCATTGAAATTTGTGTTTTCTATTCCAATTCTACATTTACTAATCACTCTAAAATTGACAACCTCAGAACCCCCTTGATATAAAATGCGGATTTCACAGTTTTAATCTGATTGAATAATCTACTCCAAAGTTTGCCTTCATGCCTTGAGTCTCCATCTGGTGATTCACAACTTCAATGGCATTTATATAATAAACTCAGCTGTCGTCATAACTATGACAAAGTCGAGGATAAAATAATAAAATATAGCAAGAAATACCCTTTTGAAACATCATTACAAACTCTCACACACCTGCAAAAAAGCATAGAAGTCACGAATAAAGAACTTTGTTTTGTATGTAGTATAGTACATTTTGTAAAACTGAGGCTGAAAAAAGCAGAGAGTACATAATTCGATATCTGTGTGCATTATTTTGCCTTTCAATAAACTGACGTTTTGGACTGAAGCACTGTGTCCTGTGGTGGGTTTTCTAAGGCAGTGTCAAATCTCTGGTGTGGAGTCTTAAGGCTGCATTAGCATCTGTAATAGATTTTTCGCAAGATGATTGCATGGGAGCTTTAGCAAGCTGATAACTCTTAGACTGGAGTTGAGATACAACAATACCTTATTGCCACCTTTCTAATGTATCATGATTGATATGGAAAACTTGGGATTTTGGAGTGTCTAAAACTCAACACTGATTAACCTTTATACTGTCGACATCAACACAAAATTTCAGCAAAGAGTACTCAGTCTTCAAAATTCTTACATAAATGGTCTATCAGTTATTAGCTAAAATATTAACCGTTAGCAGCTGTAAAATATAACTTAAAAGTTCAAAACTTTAAACTTGTTTACATTTGGATAAAATAGTATTTTTGTGGTGTAAACAGATGTGGTGTAAAAAATTTGAAAGAAATGCCTTTGAAATGCAACATACTTGGATGCAATTCCTTCGAAAATTGGATCCAGATCTAGCTTGAATGCGATGGCGATGGAAAATGCTCTGTCAAAGAGGCCAGACTGAGACAAAAGTGGTACTATTTCGTTGGCACTCAGATATGGGCCTGTTGAAGAACAAAAATGATAGTCTTTTAGATGTTCTTTAGGGCTAGAGTTCAAATATTTTATTAACATATTTTCATGATGTCATTATTTGATGGTGCGAGGAATGCAAAAAAGTACACTTAACAATCGATAATTGTTTGCGAATAATAAATAATTTAATTTTTTAAAACAAAATAGCACAAAAAAATACATACCAAGAGCGGTTGAAGAATTTTTGTCGAACTGAACCAGATTTAACCTTGCAACAATAAGTAGGTATTCCTTTTCAAGGTCTGACAGTTCAACAATGACAGTCTTTTTGGTACCTTTCTTTATGTCCACAATGTTAAGTGCAATTTCTTCACCATCTTCACTTCGCTTTGGGGATCTCCCTTGCATAGTAAAGTCATCCTACAAAACGATATACTATCCATTACAAAACATAGACAACCAGCTTATTCTTCCTCTGAACGACAAGCCATAAAAATATTCAAAACAAAACATTAAAAACAAGGGAATATTTAGGTGTGGCAAATAAAATGCCATTATTTACACTAGTTTCCCTGTCGTCATCCAGCTGGCCGCAAAATTATCTTAGCTTTGGAGAAACCAGAGTATTGGTACATAAATTCGACTCAGACGAGGTCAATTTAAAAAGCTAGTGCAAATATGTCTACGTGCGACTGTCTTTTCAAGACTGCCTTGAAACACAATCAATTCGGACAGGACAACCCTATTTGAGAGAATTATATGCATATTTGCAAAATTGTGATGAAACCTTTTCTTTTGTTTTATTTAAGTTGCTTTAAGTTGTTTCTTAAGTTGTACCTCTATTAACGCAAAGGGCCAAAGTACAAATCAACAATGAAATGCTACAAAAGTATTCAAAACTTCATCAAATTACCTCAATATCATAAACATCGATTTTCTCTTGAGATGGCCTGACAATCCACGCATAATTTTGATCACAAATTCTGAGGCAGTTTATTGCAGCAAGAAAACATTTAGCCTAGAATACAAATTGGGTACATTGTTATAAGAACTAGTTCTAATTCAATCACATTATCAAAGAGGATTCTCCAGCATAGCTAGAAGACAATTGTAGAGAGATATATGGGCATTAAAGTAAAAATACAAAAAGTTGTTAGCTCACTGACAAAATTAAGCCAAAGACTGCCCCTGCCAACCGTCTTCCATTTTATATTAAATAGCAGTATTTCCAAGCTTGGGTACTGGTTATTAATAAACAGAAGAAACACACGTATTGAGAAAAGATATACATGGAAGCAGGTCAAATGAAACTTGTTCCTGTTCTGAAATCTACCTCAAGTATTTATCCAGTATAATATCACACTATTCCCAATACAAATCAAAATTGTTGTGATCATATGTGCCCGTTTTTTACTGCTGACTGGCATAAAAAGAGGCATTCCCACCTGCTGCTGCAATGATTCCAACCCATGCATCTCTGTCCGCAGTCGACATGCATACTCGTACATAGTTGTAGCAGCTGAAACAAAAACACGTATTTCAAAGCCTTCAAACAGTGCCAGCATTTTACTGATTATTGATCTTTCAAAAATCTAGGCATGTTTTCAGATCTACGTATTTTATAGAAACCATGCGCGAAAGCTTGACTTCTGGTAGGAAAAATTGGAAAGAAGTAAATATTACAAAAAAATAGATGTTGGCGGGAAGAAAGTGCATAGCAATTAACGTGTTCACAAAATCGTTCAGTAGCGTGGGTCAAATTATCCTTGGTGCAATTAACTGAGTCAAATTCGATAAGACTTAAAGGTTAGAGTCCCGGGCTACTGATCCAAGGGTCTGGGAAATGAGTCACGGAAATGACGATATATTCACTAAGAGTGAGGAGAGTCGCCAGCTCCCTGTTATTCCGGGCGTAGGAATCACCAGGTGTGGTCATAAGGAGAGGAAGGACCAGGACACTGCTCGATAAGCGCATTGTCCCAAACGCTACCTTTAGAAGCTTGGTAGTAACAGATAAAAATAAAAATATTGCCAATATTCTTCAATCCAGATATAATCAAAATACTTCTGTTCTTTAACAATCCTGCAATCCTTATAATAGAGCTAACAAATGAGAAATGCAGAAAGCAACTTGAATATTTGCACACCTCTTCGCATATCTCCTCTGAATGAATAAAATGCATACAAGAGATCGTAATAGTCGTTGATGGTGATATCGACTGTTCTTGCTCTTGTTTCAATTATGTTGACAACCTTAAAGAAATGATGCAATCGCTGTTAAGACCACTTTCATACTTGAACATCTGTCTGGTGCTTTATTGGCACACTGGGCTTCATATAGGGACAGCAAAGGTCGTTAGGCCATTAGGCCTAAGCAGAAAAATTTGTAAAAACAAATGACAATATCAAATTGGAGGGAGCCCAGTATACAACGGCAAGATAAAAGTAAAAACTTTTCCAAAAAATCATTTCAAATAATTCACAACTAGCCCAAAATTAGTTACAGAGAACTTTGGTTCAGTCAGAAAATCACTAATGTTGAAGAAGAAATGAAGGTCCGATTTTTTCTACAGGTACTTTTGACGTAATAGACTTATTCAGGAGGTACATACTCAACTATTCTCAAATTTGCAAACCATGGTCTTAGAATTTTTTGGTTTTTTGCAACAAGCAGAAATCTTCGAGAAAAATCTACATGCTAAATTCTGGGTGCTTTTTCTGTGATAAAAATAAAGTTCTTAAAAAAAGAAAAAAACATCAGACATTTCGAAAGGAAAGGGATTTGAAGGAACTTACATCATCCTCCATTGAAGAGTAAGAGAAATTGCATATCTCTTGTAACTGTTTTCTTTCACATAGAGTAACGATGAAGTTATGCAGGCAATTGCGTCGCCTATCGATATAATTAATAATAATAGCAAATAAATTACAAAACACATTTTCAGTATATTGGAACTTTATATAATGAATAACCAAGGAAGCGTAAAGTTGTTATGTTTTAGAACTACTTGATAAAGTTATTGGCCATTAGGGAGAGAGGTTAATTGCCTAATAGCTATTCATATAAATTTTTGGCCTAAGCAAGTCAGAAAATGTTTGCTAGTTGTTTAAAGATATTCAGGATTATTAGATCCATTTGTCATTCACAAAACAATGTCAACAAACGATATGAAATGCAACAGTCTCATTCTAAGTAGCTTTTAAAATGTTCGTCTCATGATGCAGCCTTTCTGGGGTCGGTTCATAATAGCTTTCAAGGAAGTTAAGTCAATAAATATTCGAACTGCAGAAACATACCTTTGTTTATCTGGGTTGAGAACAATCGCCTGGTAAGCGTCATTGGTCTGGCCGAGTTGTAAATGACATTTGAATATATTTGACCATAACATTGCCTAGAGTTGAAATAAATTGGTCATGAAAGGCATCAAGCAGCCCTATAGTACAGAAAACACTCTAAAATGTGTAGCGAAGCCAAGAAGAATGTTGTTGTAAGAATCATTTTGTAACAAAGATCTAAAAGAATACTGTTAGAAAGTAAAGGAACAGATGTCAGCTAACACAGTGGTAATAGGGTCACAAACCGGAGGATGGCCAGCGAAAATGAATTAACGGAAGTGCCACACCCAAAGCCACGCCTTGTTTACATTGTGTTCTGATGAAGGTTTGCAGAACATAAGGAAATTGTCCAGGGGCAGGGAAAAATACTTTTCTATTATCTGCATGGAAAACTCACAAATAGGAAAAATAAAAGTACTTACAACTTCCTTGGACTTGGCATTGTTAGCGAGAAAAATGGCGGCCTTTGCAACAATGATCATCATTTCCGGATTATCAAATTGTTCAAATAACCTCATCACCTAAAGCAAAAGAAAGCATTTTTGGAAAAATGGGTAAACGAACACAGAAATGACGGCGATGAGCATAAAAATTACCGACGGATTCGCAAACATCATTCTACATGTGGGCATCAATGATTTTAACAGTATTTGGCCTTGTAGCGTGAATCAGCGGGGTTGAATAATCAAACTATTTGAATATGCGCAGTAAGTACAGTATCTAGTCTAGCATTAAAGTTATGGAAGTTACCGGTTCATCGATATGTCATATAATGCTCAATTCTGTATAGGCAGAGTCATTCTGTTCTATGCGTGTAGCTTCTGTTTAAAGCGTGTAGCTTCAAAGTTAGCAGTTCTTTAAAACTATCAAACAAACATTGAAAACTGCGTTGTAAGTTATCAAAGAAACCTTTTCGCTCATCTTCAAATCTTAGAAAGAAAACCTTTCACTTTTAAGCTAACTCAAAAAAGATGTCTTAAAAACTTTAACAATCATAAGTCCTAGCTCTTAGCAACATTTGAAAGGACGTTAACTTATATAGAAAAATTAAAGACAACCAAATCTTGGTGACAGTATTTAGGGACTTTTCTATCATTTTAGGCTTTATAAAAAGATAGACACTTGCTTACCGTAATAAAGTAAAACACAATCATGTTTGGCTTTTCAGTTGCATCTTCTGGAATAAGACGTGAAAGAAGGTCTTCTCCGTCAGCTACAATGAAAAATAATGATAAGAATATCGGTGCAAGTGAATTATTTCCAGGAAAATTGAGACGAATTTGAACTGAAAAGAGCAGTGCTGAAAAATGACGTCAAATGATGTTCCACAACAATTCCTAATCAAATCACATACCTATGAATTTGGTTGCCTTGAAGAAATGTTGTCTTGCCTTCTCATGCTCGCCGTTCTGTAAATATGCTTGGCCTAAAAGAAATTCTCTCGATCCTTTGTTTGCTGAGCACCAGTCGCTGCACATGGCCAAATATTCTATCAACAACGTTGCCTGACCTTGTGCCAAGAGGAACTCTGGAAGTTGTGTCCCAAAGCGTAATGGCCATCTAATGGAGAGTCAAGGGGCCAGCTAAAAAGTTTTGGATTTCCCTGAAACGCTGAAGATAAACTGATAAATCAACAGAAATTGCTTTAAAGCACAATCTAATGTATTCTAAGGGTGTTTTCGATTATATTGGTTTGTGAAAATTGAGACGTACAAAGAGATACACACCCTCCGTTTCCAATCTCCCATTCTCTCCTGTCATCTTTCCTTGTGTCCCTTTACTTTTCCTTCATCAAACCTTGTCCCCACCGCGTTCCGTACATCTCGTTAGCCTGCCGAGACTCTTTCTTTGTACATGTCATTCCTTTCATTCATGTTCCCCACGGCTAAACTTAGATTATTCTCTTAGTCACTACATAACTACATATCTTTCTATCCATATCGTGCATCACAAAAACACCTCTATTTCTTCTTACACTTCGTCCTGTTTCTATTGATCCCTCGTTCCATGTTATCTTCTGAACATTAACGGCATTTTTCCCCTCTAGCCCTTCTTTTTGACTATTATAAAAACATTCAGCAGGTAAATCATATTTTTTGGCTCACAATATCACGAGCTGTTTGGAAAGGATACATGGATCTGAAAATCATATCAAATATAATTTGAAAATCATAGTCCCAAGGTCGTGTGGCTTTTCTTGCTGATCCTGACTGCGATTCTGCTGGTAGTCTGGCAAATATTTTCAGGCTGTTTGACAGACCAACTTGCGACACAAAAGCATTAAGTATGGACTGATTTGCGAATCCTTGAAAATAAAAAGGCATTGATTTTTATCTTAACAGAACAACTTGCATCAACACGTGAGAAAGGACATTCCATAATGCCAAAAGGATATTTATTTGAATCGTGGAAGTTCATACCTCCAAACAACTGAGACTCATCTGCCTATATTTTCCATTGTTTGATCTTTACTTTAAAGGTATTAAGAGTATTTAGGTTTTTCAAGTTTTCTGGTAGATTGTTCCAAAGCTTGCATCCTAAATAGGACAAGTTTTCGATTTCATGAGTGATGGTTCGAGTTTTTGGGATCTTCATTAATCTACTGTTTCTAAGATGGAATTGGCTGCTCTTTTGTATGAATATTTCATTCATAAAGCTTGGATTGAGTTTATGTACAGTTTTGTAGATCTCAACCATTAGTAGTTGAAGGTTTCCTTTGTGTATGGAGACACAGTTGTTTTCAATAAGGAGAGTATCAAAATCTAACACATTGTTTTTGTATGCGATACGCATCTGCTTGTCTATCAATACAAATTCAATCAATATTTTCCTAGGTCAGTAACTTACCTTCCCATTTTGACTTTTTCAATGAAATTTTCATGTCTACAAGTTCCAAAGCAGCAAACTTTTTCAAACTGTTTTCCCTAAAAAGTGACATCAAAAAGGCATCAGCAGCGAGATAATATATACAAGTACTGATATGATAAATGCTATAGCCAGCTTTTAGCTAAATCTTAATTACCAACGAGGCACAAATTACAATGATAAAAACTTGAATCTATTATAGCAAATGGACGTATCAATGAAATATTTACGATGAAGAGCTGTTCTGTAGATTTACTGTTTATTGTTGATAACAATTATAAGAATCATTGTATTCGCTGAATGAGAATTTTGACTGTGATCAGTGTTGTTCTTTTATCACAAAATAAAAAAAAACATCACACTCACACAGTCAATGATCTCAAGATTTACTGAAACTGGCTGCTGGCTGAAACAGAGCGAAGGGGGTATTGCCACCTCTACCCGAAAAGTCAAATAGCAGTGAACTTTTATCTCTAAGCAAACGAATACAACGGTGATTGCCCCCCGGCTTTCCATTTGATTGACAGGTGCTCCTTGTTTTTTTAAAACAAACGAGTGGGCAGCATCTAAACTTACTTCAAACAAAAAGGAGAAAGTTTTTGTTGGGAAAATTGCAATTCGCTGAATATTTTCTGCCGATAAAAATCAGCACAAATGTTTTTGCTTTACCTACAATTTCAGTACAAACATAAATATTAACTTTCAAAAAAAAGATTCAAACTTTAAGGTACAGCTTACACGTAATCTGCATTGTCGGTGGTAAAAGTATTCCTTCGCAACCAAATTATCGTGAAAAAAGATTTCAACAGCTCCAATACTTTTGGAATACACTCAGCGACAAGAACAGCTCTTTTGTCGTCCAAGATGCCAGCCTTCAAATGAATTTTAAACATGGCAACTTAGCAATAGAGAAACAAGGCAACTGAGAGATGGAATTAGATGGTGTTCTCTACAGTTTCTCTTGGTCGAACAACGCCAGGGATGCAAATGAGCTACTACGAAAACATGAGCAAAAACGTTTGAGAGCCGTGGACTTAGATCTAGCGAACCCCAGTTTTAGAACTAGATTTTTGAGAATACTATCTTCTTTACAAAACATGAAGCTGATAGTGAAAAAATGTAACCTGATTACAACTCTTCTTTCAGCTCTCGCCCGTAGCTTGGAGAGGGACATGACTGCATTGCAAGTATATATCTGTTTTTCTGGATAAGGGACAACGGAAAAGTAGAGCGGAGACAAGAAAGGAATGCTGTTCACATGTAGCTAGCCCTTTATTCAACCTATGGGCAAAGTACCACAGATGTAGTGTAGAAAGACCAACACTGTATTCTTATTGTTCAGTCAGTGAATGACAAAAGAAAGAACTACAAACCGAGGAACCTAGGCAAATCATCGAGTTCATTAATAGCAACAGGTCTCTGCAGATTTCCATGCTGGTTTGCGCTTTCCTGGAAATGGCTTCGACGATCACTGCCCTACCTTCCTTGCTGCTGAATGAATGGCTCGAGTTCACAGAGAATGCTTGAAGCCCTATGAAAATTATGCAGATGATGATTGAAAATAATCATAATTATCCGTGGAGGAAAGTTTTAACGAAACAACAAGCTTGTCGAAAGTGATAAAACCTTTCATTAAGACGTTTTAAACATCAAAAATCTATCTGATGGTATGAAGATCGAGGATGACGTCATCAAAACTTTAAGTAGCACTTGAGGAATATGATCGGGTCGAATTTAAACCGAAATTTGATTATTCGAATAAAAAAGCATGCACAATTCACGTTTTGCTTATTAAAAGCGTACCATAAACCAATTTTTAGGGTCCTTTTTCAACGCCTCCTTCCTCCTAGCCCTTCGTAAGACAGATTTGATTGTGATGCAACAAAAAGCCAAATTGCTCTTTCACATGATGGTTAACAACGTATTCACCTTCATCCAAATTTTCGAAGTCGTTTGGAAGCCATTTTGAAGGGTCCAGTGTATCGACAATTGTTGAAATCGCGCCGAGAATGTCTGGAAGATCTTTCAGCCTTTGCGAATAAAAAAAGATAAAACAATATTTGCTAAAGCTGAAAGCATTACCACGAAAATGTTAAAACTGCGTTTTATTTCACTATAATAGAAAAAAGAACTTAATAGTATCTATTCGAGATTAATGGCAGCAGAATCGAAGGGGGGGGGGGTGGTGTGCCCAAAGGGTCTGCGTCGTTTGACAAAACATAGGCTGAATTGTGCATGGTCAAGTTCGGCTTCATAAATATGAAGAATGTTGATTTTGCAACAATTATGGCAACAAAAGCCTGATAAGGTAGTTCTTGGCGAAAGCCTTATTCTATAAACACTTTCATTAACTACACTCGGCGATACGGAATGAACAGATAAAGCAAGAATGTTCTGGTACCAGGTTATGCAGGGCCTAGCATATCGTAGCAGTTGAAATCAGAGTAGCAGAAGTCGTGCAATTGCTGTCACTTCAACACAAACAAAATAAAATATCAAAACCAGAAGTTCCAAATGGATTATAACAGCCTCTTACTTAGTATTCACTTACTTAAGCTGGAGACTCCGTACGAACTTATCAGTCAATCTTGCATCACCAACAAGATCTGAAGAATTGCTAAAACAACAGACAAAGGAAACAAATTAACAACATTGATTTTAAGAAAAACGAATCTGAAATGCATTAATGTCCACTTCTGATATCGGAGAAGATTTCAAAAATGAACAGACTTGGTACAATATCGTAGATAAACTGTTCAACTTTTGCCAAGATCAAGACGACCTTCTCAAACTGAAGTGATAAAATATCATACTGGATAAATCTCTAGATTTTTTATCTCTTAAAAACGTGTCCAGCACAAAAGACCTTGCTTCAAGTACACACCAAAATGAGAAGATAACAGAAAAAAATTACAGTTTAATTGAAATCTTATACAATCACTGTGTAAAAAAATCCAGCTATTCACAGTCAGATTGCTATCTGAATAAATTTTACAAAGCAACAATATTAAAGCGTTACCATAGGAACAAAAATTATCAAAACATTCTTTATCAAAGCGTAAAATGAAGCGATTAGCACAGCATCCAGAAAACATCGAAAATTTCACAATGAAAACCAATATCAGATAGTGGTCGAATGAATGATAAAAGGTTAGGCACTGGGTACTAATGATAAGAAAATGCTGGTTTAAATAAAAGATTTAATTGCTAATATTTTATAAAAGGCGATAATGTTAAGAGTAAAAGAATTGGGATGCACTTCAAAAGTCTGAATCAGTGGCATTTTTTATCAGCCAGAAACACTTGAAATAAATGCAATGGCTGCTCGACGGCAAAGTTCTTAGAGTTAGACCCATGCTTAGGGAACAATCAATTGCTTATTTCTTCTATTGCTTAGGGACAATCAACATTCGCCAACCCTCACGTTTTCATTATCCTGTTTATAACACCTTCTGTCTTCTACAGTATTCAAGTAGCGTGAAATCCCATATAATTTTAAGCGTTTGAGAACATTTTCACACGATTATATTTGTAATCAGTTTCTCCATTTCGATCAAATCCTAAACATTGCGAGAACGAGTTGGACATTAAAAATATTGATGTAAAAAACCTCACAATAAAAATGCGTTTAAACATTTAGGCAAGTCTCGGGGATCTTCCTGACTATAAATTCATGTTTTCAAGCTCATTTTACGCAGTCTTCCAGAACCCATTGTACTGTGCGTCAAGATGAAAAGCAAAGCGAAAGAAATAACTCTTGAAGCAATAAATTACCTTGCATCTGTTAAGAGATCCCTTGCCAACGAAGCAAAAATTTCTTTTATGTCCTCATTCGTAGCAATACTGCTCTCTATATTATTTAACGTTGTTTCAGTGAACTGTTAAAAATTGAAAAATAAATCGCATCAATTCAACAGAAATTTCAACAGAAATTACACGGATAGTTTAAGACGCAACACAAACAGGTGAATGCGAATGTTTTGTACAATGCTATATGGCGAATACTGTGCTTGAAAATCAATGTGCTCTTCCAATCTTTAGTAAATGAAACTTAATTTGAATAAATAATAGTATGGATTTAAGATCATTTTGAAATAACCTCAAGCTTTCTAGCATTTGGGGGATTTTCAAACTACGAAATTTTTTCCCACTAACAATGAATTTGCATGATGTATTTTAAAGGTAAGAGAAAAAAATTTAATTACGGTACTTCCTTTAAATTTGAGCAAACGAACATTGCAACTTGTTTAAACGCGGGTATTTTGCATATGTGGAAAAAAATTTCCTGTGAGAAAGTAACGGTCTTCATAAAAGTTTAAACGGTAAATAAATTACAAAATTCGATAATCAATGCATGTATATAAGCATGTGATGCAAAATTTACATTTGTTAGCAGAATTCCTACAGAGTCATGTTTCGCCAAGACGTTAAAGAATATGCGAAAGTTACTTACCAGTAAAGAGATTGATTTTAAGCAGTCAACTAGCTCCAAAATGCTGCTGCAAACATCAGTATCTGAATAATTTGTAAAAATAAACTTAGAATTTCACCAATAGCTACAAACAGATGCAATACATAACATGGCAAAAGAGCACAAAAAGGTCTACTAAAATGACTGATAGAAAGTAAAAGGGACTATTTCGTTCGACTCTCTTTAACAAACGAATTGCTGTCTTTACCCAAATCATCGTCTATATTCGTTTTTTATGAAAACTCGTTTTTTATTGTTCTTTTACATGCAGTGATTTCTCTACAACTACATACCATATATTGTTTTTAAGACCATTAAATAGCAGATTAACATGAAATAGTTCGAAACACGATTTCTAGCCCCTGACGTCATTCAAAAGTCCAGCTAAGAACAAAAGAATTCGGTTCCTTCTTTGAAAATAGGGGAATGCAACTTCGTTTTGATGAGAAAAACGCTTGTAAACGCATTAGTACCTGCAATTCCAGCTTCATTGTGTAGATACCTCATACAGTTATCATGAGAATGTTGGTCCTTTAAATACAACATCTCCAACCAGGAATTTGACACGAGATATCCACGGTAGTTCTAAAGATCATATTATCAGTTAAAAAGGTATAAGATTTATCATAACATTAACCGTCATACGTATGCAAAGAAGAAAGATACAGAAAACTTGAAGCCATGTTGAATAATCTGGTTTAAATTGAGTAGCCCTAAATCTTTATTGAAACTACAACCAAACCAGTAAATAGACCACATTCGCTAGAATGTCGTTACACTGTATGTTTTCTACAACACAAGAAGTCAGTTCATCTTGGTTAAAAAATCTAAGAAAAGTTGCGCAAAAATTCACACATGCGAAAATTTGAGACCATTTGAATTCATTTTGATTGTTTCAAATTTTACTTTTTCAAATTTAAAATGGAAGCCTTTTATAACAAACTCGATCATTTCATAATTGTTTTGTTATTTTGAAGACATTTGTCCGTAAAAAACTGGAAAGACCCTCTAACGATAAGGTTAATTGAAAATGTCGAGCCTACAACACGTGTTTACTGAAAACGAGTATAATTTATGCAGATATGTAATAATAATTTTTCAGTAGGAACAAAAATACCTGACGTATGATAGAAACTAAGCCTGAACTCTCATCAGAATGAAGGCCAATTGGTTTCCGCTCAACCTAGAGCAAACAAAGAATATTCCTTTTAACAATAAGTATAATCTACTGAGATCCGCAACACAAACTGAAATCTTTTAATTTCAACTATTGTCAAGTCTTAAAACAAGCTTATAATGCACAATTTGGTCCTTCTTATTACGAATATGGCTATAAAAACGTTATTACGCCTTGAAAACAGGATAAAATTGCCATCAAATAGGGCCCAACTTTCACCAAACCGCGCATGTTTGCTGGAGTCTGGGCAAGGGTTTGTGACGTACAACCGAACTGCATTTAAAGCACGATACGTATATGCTGTGTTTTTAATTTAAGGTCATTGCCTCTGTAAAGTATAAATCTTGAAAATTAGCTTAAAAAAACCAACGAACAGGCACAATCAATCTAATTATTTACATCTCAACCAAATTAGTGTGTCATTATTATACATCTTATTTTCTGTTCAATAACAACCCTATTAATTTGATTAATTTGGTGAATTTTATTTGATTATATCGTAAAACATGAGACTCTTTTTACGCCTTTTCTAGAAATATTTTGCTCGACACATTTAGCAACAGAAAGGACTATGTCTTGTTCAACCTAATTTTAGGAATAGGGAAAAATAGGTCGTATAGTAGCTAGTGTAGAACAGTAACGATTAAATAAGTGATAATCTTTGTTGCTGCTTTAAATATTACATTCAAACAAGAAGGATTATTATAGTAAGCTAAAATTCTAAAAAAGTTAAAATAATATGAAAGTTAAAAACAGCGTTTCATTATAAGCTAGGATCATAGATAGCTGTAATTATTTTACATACTGTCAACCCTTAAACATACCAGGCCTATTTTAACATGTCAAGTTTTGTAGTAACCTGCAATCGCTGTCGCTTTGTGTTAGTGATGTGTTCAGATCTCTTGACCTTCATATCCTTTTTGAATATATCTTTGAAAACCTGGACTTTATGGAATAATGAACTGTTGAAAACCCTTACTGTACTGTAATCCCAAATATATATCATAACCATAAAAGCACTGTTCTAACTACCTGATCATACTGGACAGCTGATGCATAGAACCTACTCCAACTTTGCATTTGTAAGTTGTAAAATTCTTCTTGGTCTATCTCGTTATCCAGCATAAAATTTTGTATCTGCAGATAAGATCAAAATGGCAATTGTTTTAAAGATGGCAAAAAGGTACGTTTAAGGACATTTAGGGACAATTCCTATTCGGACAAAGGCCAAAGCATAGCAAATTTCCAAACATGGATTGGCGGAGAACTGGAAAGCCCCTTCACTGTAACTGAAAATTCGCTCAGAGAACGAGCCATTGGCTGGCGGAGAGATATCCAAAACTTTATTACAGATAGGACGCTAACCTTTAAGCAAAATTAGGTCATGTCAGAAATGTATCGATGCTCCTGACTGATTCCAATTTTACGAAGTCTGTATTTAATTGATTTATATGAATTTCATACCCATTTCTGAACAATCGAAATGCTTACTTTTTAAGGAGCAAAGGCTTTTGAAAACCATTACACTGCCTTTCTAATTGCTTAAAAGTGAGGGTTTTATAGATCTTTTAGATCCTGGAGTCCCCTGTGCCCTCACTGATACTACATTACTGAGTATTTGTCACAAAAAATGTTTATCGAATCAATATAAGAGTGGAGCAGAAGGAAAGTAACCTCGTATTGAATCAGTCTCTCTACAGCTTCCTTAAGTTCTTCAAAGGATGATTTGCTTGACACGTTTAGATCAATTTCTTCATCGAAAGACTTCAATGTCATCTGCGAAAAAGAGATTGGAACCAAGTTTCATATTGCATGAATCATAAGGAATACGGTTAGCAGCACTGACCAGAAAGATGACAAATACATAGAGGATTAAAATCTTACAAGTGAAAAAAGAACTTTTGATATTTACTTGAAAATAATCAATAAAGATTCGATTTTAATCAATTTAGATTTTATTAGTCAATTTTAAGTTAAATAGCACTGTCATTTTTTATTTTACGTAATAAGCAAGCAACAATGGAAGCATGTACATGAAATATCACTGGTACTTCACTTACCTCGATTGTTTTCAATAAAACATTCTTTGAAAATTTCCCAGGTACGAATAAATTGCACAAGTAGATTTCCTTTTTGAATAAAAATAATTAATATGGTTACGCCTTTGAATAAAACAAATTAACAAACTGTTACTAGCAAAACGAAAAAAAGTATTCAAAATTTTATGAACAGCTTCAAAGTATATTGCAGCCCAACGCAGGTGATTAGGAAAAGCTTTCGAACCAGGATGGAAGGGTGATGTCTGGTGACTAGCAATAAGGAGACTACTAAAATGATAACTAGCAAAAATAGTAAAGCTGCACCAACTATCAAGTCAAGTACATTATCCTATGACAGCCTCTGCTGCTTTTCAACTGTTACATTTTGTTGAGTATTTCAAAATGTTTTAGCTTATCATGATTTAGTCTCCGTTAATTTCAAACATTAGGAGCTCCATTTTGGGGTATGACTTATTTTCAAAAATGTGGCTTATATCAAGGAGCTAAACGCAACGGATTGTCAGTTTGAGTAACGCATGATTTTGTAGACGGAAATTAGACAAGAAAGCTTACATTTGGTTCGATTGAGTGATGCACAAACACGGTGGAATCTTGATCGACTTGCAGCGTGACGTCATTCCAGCCTATACCCAACCCATTAGCCCTACGAAAAATGCAATATACAATTAAAAAAAAGCTTGAATAATTTATAATAAAAAAATTCTTCAAAATAGCATGAATGATAGGAAGCATGGTAAGTTCAAATCGAGAGCCCGAACTAACATCACAGATGCTCTGATGACGTACTATCCAACATGTCATTAAAACATTTATGTAAGAGTAAAGTTTCTTATAAATCAAAATGAATACATCGAATCGAAATGAAACTTTTATTGTCAAGGAATCAGGTGTTGGTGAATCATGATACGAATAGAAATTCTTTCACCAGCCTCCATGCATTTTACAAGAAAATACGAATGTTTTTTACTTTCAGATTATGACTGTAAAAAGCTTTCACTGAAATTACTAAGAACACTTTCATGAAATGGTCATAACTTTTTGTCAAAATAAAATATTCGTAAAAATGTTCTTAAGAGCTACGTAACCCAAACCATATTAAGTTTAACAGAATTTCCTTGAAATTGAATCCAAAAACCTTCAATTGTTAGTAAGAATAGGATTATTTTTTTAAGTTTGAGACTCTGTACTGCACTTACTCTTTGATGGCGGTATACCGAATCGCCATAGCAAATAAAATCACGAGCAACCATTCATTTTACAGTAAAACACGGAATGTTTTTGCTCTCAAATTGCAACTTTAAAAAGCTTTCACTGAAATAAGCGTTAGCCAAAAAACCCTTTTGTGAAATGTTCGTAAATTTTGGTCAATGAAAAATATTCGTAAAATTGTTCTTAAGATCTACATCACCAAACATATTCAGCTCAACAAGAATTTCCTTGTCACTGAGCCCGAAACACTTTGCTGTCGTTAAAGAGAACATAATAGATACTTGGGCACTTAGAGGGCCAGGAAGGGATCAGTAGACTAAGGTTTATCACACTTACTCTTCAATGGCAGCATATTGCAATACCGAATCGCCGGATGTGTTGGTCCATAATGCCCAGATGTATTTGTGGGTTAACGCGAAATCCATTAAACATGTCTGCAAGAAAAGAATTCGAAGAAACATGGCTACTTTGTGCACACTTGGCACCAGTGGCGGACACTTGGTCAAATATTGGGGGGCAAGCCTATTGTTTTAATAAGATGACGTCACATTTCTCATTGTTTTGGAACAAAAGACCATTGTTCTCTAAAGTATTGGGGGGGCGGTCGCCCCCCCCTCGCCCCCCAAGTGTCCGCCACTGCTTGGCACCCAATCCAGCAAGCAGGACGTATATTAGTGTCTGGGAACGATCTATTTTACAAAAATACCTGCCAAAATTATGTCATTGAAATGCAGTATTTTATTCATCAAAACTATACTATCATTACTCAGAACTATTTTTTGTAAAATTCATTAGATAATGAATTGCACAAGAGAATGGCCTCCGGGCTTGCTAAAACCTTGGCAACAACGGTGCAAATATTCTTTATACTAAACCAAATCACGTGTCTTTATGATATGAGCAGCGTATTCAAATACTTGACTCGCTTAGAAAATTGATTACTCACTGAGAAAATACGATGTAAGATAACTAGCATTATAGGATCCCTCTAGTCAACACTGAAAACCTATACTAATTTCATGATACCATTGTTTTGCTACAGTTAAATGGGCCTAGAACGTGATGTCCTCCTGCTTCATATAGCAAATTAGATAAATTTGGAATATTTTGTAAATTTTGGGAGCATGTTCTTGCGAATATCTTCTTTGGAAGTCAAATGATTGTCAAAAAGAAATGAAGTATCTGCACATTTACATTCAAGCAACATTATTTGCCAAACTAGTATACAGAGAAGTATACGCCTTAAACTTGGTGTTTCTGTGTGGCTATGAAAAAAGTTAAGGTGGTAAGTTGTTACGCAATAGGAGAAAAAAGTGTACCTGTTTTGTGAAATGAGACGAAAGGAGCGACAATTCCACGTCACCTTCATCTTCAATAATCTCAAAGGCAAAAAACTGAAAGGAAAATATGGTAACATTCACTCAAAGTGGGATGGGAGAGCTGAAAAGTGACAAAGGTTCACGTTAGCTTGGGACTTAGAGAGAGAGGGACTTTATATGGTACTTTGGTGTCTAGATAAAAAACAGCCTGCAACAAATTATAAGTGCCAATCTATAATTGAATTATTCTGAAAAGCTTTATTAAAATGCTCAGAGTATCTAACAAAAATACTTTCCTCTGTGATTGAAGCATTCAACATAAACGCACAAGCCAGATCTTATTATGAACCCTAACCCTAACCCTAACCCTAACCCTAATGTATGCATATAACTTTGTGAATAAATTATGTTATAAAAGAGTAAAATGACAGTTACCTGAGACTGAAATCTGAAATTTAAGAATACACCAATAAAATGATTTCCTTGCTCGATATCAGTTGCTTTTCGAATCATGTGGGCTTGTGCTGAAATGAACAGGATTGATTTTTGTGGATTTGAAGAAGGCAGTAAAGATCTCAAACGGATTTAACAGAAACAGAGGGTTAACAGGAAACTGTAGAAACACTTATGTATGCAATATTATGTATGCAAAAGAACGATGTATCTGTGTTGGCTTTGAGAGTATTTGAAAAAAACACTTATTTCTTGCATTACCCCCTCTCCCCCCTTTTGCCTCTTGCATTGTCTTGGATAATGGGGAACGAGTCCTACAAGACTGAAACTTATGAAGAGAGCAAGTGAAACGACCAGGGCAGGACTTGAACCTGCGATCAGTGATACTGTACGCCGCTTCCTGACCAAAACATTTTCAAATCCTGCCACGCTCCCCCTCTTTACCAAATGCACAGGGGAGTGATTGCAGCAATTTTGGTGATGGGCACCCTATCTGCTATGACTGAAACTGGTAACAAAAAGCAAAGAAAAAACCAAGGCTAAAAGCATCATCGTCGCCATGAGTCTTTTACCAGATTCAAATGCAACAGGAAACCCAAACACTATGAAGTAAACTTGAAAGACAAACTCAATAATTTCCGGTCTTATAAAACAAAAAGGAAAGTTTTAAGAAACAATATATACCTATTCCAGACTGAACATCCAAAACATCTGGCAGCAACGGTGAAAGGTCATAATCTTCAACACATTCAAGAGTCTACAATCAAATGTAAACAGCGGTATTAATCTTTTTATCCTAACCAAAATAATACCAAACGAGAAACGTAGAATTAGATGTTTGAACATGATTACAAACAACAGTGGAATTTTGATTTAATGAAACTCTCTTACAGAAAATATCCTGGTATAATGAATTTAACTTTTTTTGCATTTGAATTTTCCTATCACCGTGTCTGGTTGAATGAAGTTCGTTTAGCTCATTGTATAAATTTCTGCTGACATTTGAGCAGAAAGGCCACATACAGACATCTAAGCAGAAAGGCTATATATAAACATGTTTAAAGAAAAATGGATTGGATTGAATTAGATTGTATTGGAAAAAGATTGGATTGGACTGGATTGGTTGATATAAATATTGCATTCAAGTTGATTTATAATTATGGCAAATTTCAAAATTTAAAATCATAACCCCAATTACAAAAGACAGTCTAGAACAAAAAGTGTATGAACTGCCTTCTGTGAATGCAACACAATTCAGAAGAAAGAATCTTAAGATATACAGGAACAAAGCAATACGACCACAAGAATCCAATGTAAATATTCTGCAAGTGGGCAAACTGTAACTTCAAATTAATATTAGTATATACCTAAAATTTAATCTATTTTGGAAATTTTATCTCGTGAAATTGGATTCTCGTCGTCGCATTACTTTGTTCCTGTATATCTTTTGTAACAACACTCATTGCAAGATTCACAGAATCCAACAGACAGCCTATCCTGCGGCTCTTCCTTTTTACACAAAGAATCTTAAACTATATATAAATGCAACAAAATTCTGAAAAGATATATATCATGCCAAATTTGGGTTTAAATTTGTGTGCAAGTTTGTTGTAACATACCTTGCAGGACCATATCCGTATCTTTAGATCTTTGCAGAGTGCAAAGATAAAACATTCTTTCCCTATAGTGTGGATTTCACATGACTGTACACTATCATGTGGAAGATTATCACCCCTGTGGAATGAATGAAGTAAATTCAAGCTTCAAACGAGAAGAGGACTTAAAAAAGCAACATGAGGCACTGAGGACTACAACAATAAAAATTACAGATAAGGGGAAAATGTGACAACTAAAAATGAACAAATACTTAAAAAATAGTAGCAATTAATCAAGACTACTAGACCTCAGGCCTTGTGTGGAGCAAAAAGCAGGTGCTTGACAAACTAGGCACCTTCAACATTCTAGGTGAGCATCATCAAATATCATCAATAACAAAATTTGGTTTTTGGCATTTAGTTTTTAGACAGCATAAACACACTAGGTACTCAATCAATCAAGCTCCTTGAACTTTCTAGGTGTGTGCAGAGGCGTTTGATGGAACTCAAGTACCTCTCCTTGCAAGGCCTGCTACACCTCTAGATCACAAATGGTATTGAAACATCACACTTGGTTTGCTAATAAACCAAGAGCTAAAGACTGAAAAGTTAGAAGGAGAATAACTAACAATATTAGGTACCTCAGAACTGTTGGGACAAGTCCTGTCCATAGTCGTTTCATGATGCTTGTTTGCTTGAGCTCGGATATTTGTGGCAAGGCTGGAAAAAATCAAGTAAGATTACACAGCCATACAAAAGAACCAACACAAAAACTGTGATTTATCAAAAATGTATTGCCCAGTTGGCTGGAAACTATATTCTGAGGCATCTTTTCTATTAAGTTGAAAAAGCAAATCAAATCTATAATTATCATAACCACTTACTCTTAATTTATTGTAACATTTTGAGAATGTTCATAAATGATTCTGAACCAAATTGTCAAACAATTGAATACATACTCTGGCTGTTAAATGCTGGCAGTGTAACAAAGACAAGAGATCCTTCCACTGTTATTAATGATATGAAGCATTCTCCTGAAGAAGAAAGCTCAGCAGAGAATGACAAACATTTCTTAGGCAATGCTGCAAAACACCATGAGTCTGCAGTGACACCAGTGGGGTTATTTACAAATATGGACGGTGAAGATGCATCAATACTGGACGAAATGTATGCACCCTACAAGACAATGTACAAGCTGATATTTACAATTGAAAAAATCAATGAAGTGAAATCAACAATTGTAGACACATTGACACTATTTCCTACTTATCCTATTCATTTGGAATTATTGTATGTATCTTGTAATTGTTTAATAATACCTTGTTTTGTTGATCCAGACTTGAGTAATATCAAGTAATACTAATTTGTACCTCTACACTTAAAGATATACTTTTAGTAAAGATATAATCTATCTATCAAGATAAGAAAGTTGTTATATAGATAATATACAGATATACAGATAAATTTCAATGTTATACCTTATACATCAGATATATACATACCTGTTTCTCTTTGGTAGGGTGATGCCAAGTAAGTCTGTGAACTGAGTGAGCTGTTGCAATAATGACAGTAACAACATTTGCATTTTCAAGGACTTTGACACAGGGCAAGAATGTTAGGTTTTTTATTCTCAAACAAATTTGGTTTCCATATAGGTGAAGATCTTGTGAAACTTCAGTTAGATAAACAGCATTCTGTGAGATTTTCCTGCAAATAAAGAGATCTTATTTGTGTTTCAAATCTCAAAAAAAAATTTCAAACTATAAGAAATGGTATTCCCATACAAATTAAGCTTCTTGGCATTCTATATTTGAATTTTTCATTTGTGTTTATCTTGTGATTATCCACTTATCACTTTTATTGAGCAAAGATACAATAATGTAATTGAACAATTTTTGTTTATGCTCTTAATGTTTCAATAAATGTTTCCTTGAACTGATATAAACTTAAACATTTATGGCGTTAGATCTATGTTCTGTTGTTTTGAACTCTGAATAGTGTCAGACGAAAAGCTTTAGTTTACTCAAATGTTTCCTTTTTTCAAAGCCATTTTGAAGTTTTGTACCACTAAAAGATTGTTTAAACATTTATGTTATCAAAACTGCAGAACCAATTTATTAGGCCTATGTACAAGAGAAAATGCAAGTGAGTTAGTCATTGAAGAATTCTGTGAAGAGAATTGCATAAATAGAAGGGTAAATTACAATAATTTTTCCACATCAAGTCTGAAGAATGAGCCATATTTTTTGGGGGGGGGGGGCATTTCGGCTACGTGCAACCTCTTAGACAAACTCAGAAAGGCGACCAAAACAACATTTAGAGATTTTGCGCAGAAAATTCACGTAGTTAGCTATGCGGGCACAGATTCTCTATTTTAGCAAGATATTGCACGCGCGTCACAAACTTTCCAGTCCGGTAGACAAGAAAATAGGCATGGGCCTAACGTAACTCACCAAAAAATTGAGCGGTTTCGCGTAGTCCTACTGTAATGGCGACAATGCTTGTAAGAAAATGCACCAGCTCTGTCTTGGGAAATATTTTCATCTACGTTGTCTTCAATACGGACATCTGATTGAACAGCAAGCTCCAAAAGCCGCCCACCTTCAAAACTGAAAGGCACTTGTACCTCGTTGTGAGAGCCCGCCATTACCAAATGAAAAATTGAAAATCTTAGCTTTACTTCGTGTATTGAGCTTGAAATTTTTGTCGTTGTTGGTGTTGTGACAGAATAGCTTGTGTGGATCCAAAGGAGAAATCAGGGCCCGCGACACAGGGGGAAGGGGCTAGATGGCCTCCCCACTTTATCGCTAAATTAATGAATGAAAACGACTCAAATTACTTATCTAGATCAACCTTCCGATAACAGATTAACCAGGGGCGTAGTGCTGTCAAAATAACTATAGGGGCTCTTCCACAAAACGCTGGGAAAAACAATAGCAGAAGTAGAAATTGGCTACTTTTTGGCATTAGCCCCCCTGAGCCCCCCTAGCACTACACCTCTGAGATAAACCTTCAGATAAACCTCAAAGGGCTGCAAATAGGCACTGCATCTGTTTCTGAAATATAGGACACATGCCCATTGTGCTACATGGTTCCCAAACTATGACTCAAGTTCTTTTTCCAATATAACAGCAGTTATTAACAATAAAAGGTGTCTTAAGGGACAGTTTTTTTATAATCGAAATGGTGGGCATAAAGAAGAAAGGTTTGGTTTTAAATCATTTATTAAGATGTCTGAAAAGTTTGGGCCCCTTTATACTTTCTTTTCCATTCTTTTCTTGAGCTGTCAGCAAGGCAAAAACATTTGACCAAAACTGTTAAGTACAGCTGTTCACAGAATAACAATAAAGAGGCTCTTGCAAAGATAAGGACAAAGTTTGTGGAAATTGGCAGCCAAGCCACCAATTTGAATCGAAAAATGTCAGACAAAATTTATCTGTATTCATAGGAGGAATCTTCTTTACCCCACCAAATTTTCATTTGTTTCAGTGACAAAGAAGTTAGGCGAGAGGGTATTGAGCTCTGTTGGGACACACCACACCATACTTCCGCCACATACAAAGTGGTAGTTAACAGTGAGTCTGGATCAAAAATTTACTGCAGCTGTCATACTGTATCCATTTGCATTACTGGCCACAGCATTTCAAACATTATGACAATCATTTTTTATTCTACTTCGAGTGAAAACAGTTAATTTGACAACCATACAACTTTAGTAAAACCTATAAAACATTTTGAGGTGATTCATTTGCTGAAGGTCACATCACATGGTCACAGGTCATCAATAAATTCTGCCAAAAAATTCAACTCAAAGGGGCACTTTCCCCCTGTTGAAATCGCACTTGCAAAACTTGGGAGCATAGTGCTCTTTGGTACTAAGAAAGACTACCTGTGCTTCTTAAATACTTGCAGATCTGCATGATACTTGTCTCATACTATGTCTTATCTTTTTGTACAGTTCTGAAAATAGTTTAGTGACAAATCACAGATAGCCCCATTATAATAAAATCTACCACTGATTTAATGAAATAATTCAAAACAAATTTAAAACAACAACAGAAAATCAAAGTATGCTACACTTCTTTCTTGATAAAAATATTTCCTTTCACTAAATAAAAACAACTGAAATAAACAGATAAATATTTTTAAAATTCTTTCAAATTATAAAATACTCTTCATCATAATGTCATTTCTTGTTATCATACAATTGTCAACATTATTGCCACAGCAGTGGGAAAAATTCCTAGAAGCATCATCATAAATTTTGGTGCAAAAAATAGTTTGAACTGAGTAAAATAGGGTGATGGGTTGGTATTATGTGCTGACTGGATGATGGAAGTTAGAGCTGATTTAAACAGTAAATTGAAATCGCTCTAGTGCTTTGTTTATTGGGCTATCATGAAATCTTCCTGAAGCTAAATATGTTCATGCAAGTTTCTTGAAGCTGAAATCATTTTCTTCCTTTTTTACAACATCCATCACCTTGTCTGCTTCTTCTTCATCCTTGGCAATGATAAAGCCATTTCTGCCAAGCAGTTTCACCCATGGCTCATTTAGAGGCTTTCCAGCAACAATCAAGGCATCACAAACATGCTCACCCTCACTGTTATCAATCAACAGAGACCCACCTTTGCCAAAAACAAGGCAACCTCCATCCTTCTCAAGTTGCTCTTTCTCAGCTCCAATTTTGCTCATTCCTTCTATCACAATCACAAAGCCTTGCTCAAGATCTCCATCTAATGGCACTTCCATCGTCTTCCCTTGATCCACAAATGCTCTGACCATTACTGCCCTTGGGAATGCTTTCAATTTCACTGGAGACTCCACATTTCCAAGTTTACCAACATTCACCCTCAACTTGCCCCCTTCTAAATCCATGACTGGTATGTCATCCCTGTCCACTCTTATCAGCTCAGGGGGAAGGTCTAACTTGTCTGCTGGGATTTTAAAAATCGTTTGAATTGCCATATGTTTTCCTTCTCTCGCTGTTTTCTCTTCGTGGCAAACGCCTCTCCCAGCAGATACAGCATAAATACCAAAGGCTTCATTTAGATGGTCTGAGACGCCATTCAGATTGTCAGCATCCATGAAACACCCTTCAACGACGGTTGTAACTGCTATAAGACCATAGTGTGGGTGCATTCCAAATGGGGGCAGTCCTTTGCCGTTTATGACACCGATATCACAAAGCATTACTGGATCCACATCTACCAAGGGGTGTTTAGTGCCTTGGCCTTTGAAATCAAGACTGCCAACGAGACGTTGCAGCGGACCAGCTTTAGTGGCCAAAACCCTGTTTGTTATCGATCGAAGTGCAGCTCCACTGGCCATTTCTAGATGTTGGAATATGCTGCTATAACAGGACTACTGAACTGCAAAATCTATTTATCTCTGCTCTGTTCTGTCAGGCAAGGAGGACTAGGTATGAATTGCGCTACCCGCCGGCTACACAGGTATAGAGGATTACTTGAAACAAAGTGGCATTACTAGTGAGCAGCCAATAGCAAAAACTCTCTTTGAAGAACGAATTGACTGCATTGTTATATTCGGATTCTGTTTCTGTTTACATTACAAACAAAAATTAGGCTCCATTGTCAAGCGACCAGTAGCAACCGTTACCCTCTACAATTGTTTTCAATCCTCTCATCTATGCCGCGATGACTCAGCTTTTCCCGTCCTGTGCCTAGATCTATCATCTTTATGCATCCTAATTCATCATTAGTCAGCATTTTTATTTTTTATGTAATTATTTTAATTTGTATGTCATTGAGTTTAGTTAGAATCAAGACAACAATAGAAACATCGTTTCTTCTCTGGCAGCAAGCCCCTTTCCTTTTCAACCTCCATGATTATTTCTAATAGATTTAGCTTATACTGTATATTAAACTTGAATACATTGGAAAATCTTAATGCCTCTAGAAAATTTTAGTGCCAGCAGGGACGCTGGAGAAGGGGGGGTACCCTGGGTACCAGACTCACTATATGTAAAATAAAATATAGTGAGTCTGGTACCCAGGGTAGGGGGGGCGACCGCTGTTGCCTTTGATAGAAGGGGCAAGAGGGGCCAGAGTGCCCTTTTAATTAAATTGCCCTCGAAGCCGGCCAATTGCAATAATAAAAGATATTCATATGATATGAAATCCTGATTTTTGTGCTTAATTCATGACAACATTCCTCGACATTTTTATGCTAAAAGTTAGACAATTTTCAAGATACCTACAGAAGATCGAAATAAAATGGCAGTTAGTAGAAGGATCTAATAGAAGCTGGGAGTTTTCTTTTAAATGCCCTGTTACTCAAGCCTGCCCCCTTTGTCCCTCGGTCGTTCCGGCATCTTTGAGCAAGGAAAAATCTCAGAATTTAAAAAAAGCTTCTGCGCTGGTTCAGATCCTAATTTTCTGTAAGAAGCTTGCACAAGTATTCGAAATTTTCGCTGGAAACACGGACAAAACAACATTTTGCATTAATGTTTACCACAAATTTTTATCCCAGAGTTTGATTGTCAGGATGTTTTCGATTTTAATGTATATCTAGAATTAAAAAAAAACCTAGTTTTAAGATGTAAGCAATAAGTTTCAGGCCAATTAGTGAAGTACTCAAAATATGAGGATAAATATTTGGGATTCTTTGAACCGTACTCTACTGTAGATAATAAAAAGAGAAGCCAAAGAAATTCTAGCATGACAAGTTTGTGCTGAATGATAGAGAGTGGTCGAAAGACATTAGACACATAGATGTGTATATTAAGAATCTTTCAATTGCTTTCATACAATTGCCTAGAATGTTACCACAGCAGCAAGAAAAATTCCCAGCAGCATCATCATACCTTTTGGTGCAAAAATAGTCTTAAATGAGTAAAAAAGGAGATTGATTGGCTCTTAGTTAGTGCTGATTTAAACAATAAGCCAGTGCTTTGTTTCATGGTCCATCATGACATCTTCTTGAAACTGAAATCATTTTCTTCTTTTTGTATAACATCCATCACCTTGTTTGCTTCTTCTTCATCCTTGGCAATGATAAAACCATTTCTGCCAAGAAGTTTCACCCATGGCTCATTTAGAGGCTTTCCAGCAACAATCAAGGCATCACAAACATGCTCACCCTCACTGTTATCAATCAACAGAGATCCACCTTTGCCAAAAACAAGGCAGCCTCCATCCTTCTCAAGTTGCTCTTTCTCAGCTCCAATTTTACTCTTTCCTTCTATCACAATCACAAAGCCTTGCTCAAGATCTCCATCTAATGGCACTTCCATCGTCTTCCCTTGATCCACAAATGCTCTGACCATTACTGCCCTTGGGAATGCTTTCAATTTCACTGGAGACTCCACATTTCCAAGTTTACCAACATTCACCCTCAACTTGCCCCCTTCTAAATCCATAACTGGTATATCATCCTTGCCCACTCTGATCACTTCTGGGGGGAAGTCTAACTTGTCTGCTGGAATTTTAAAAACCGCTTGAACTGCCACATGTCGCCCTTCTTTGGCTGTCGTCTCTTCGTGGCAAACGCCTCTCCCAGAAGATGCAGCATAGATACCAAAGGCTTCAATGAGTTGGTCTGACACGCCATTCAGATTGTCAGCATCCGTGAAACACCCTTCAACGACGGTTGTAACTGCAATAAGACCGTAGTGTGGGTGCATTCCAAACGGGGGCAATCCTTTGCCGTTTAAGACACCGATATCACAAAGCATTACTGGATCCACATCTGCCAAGGAATGTTCAGTACCTTGGCCTTTGATATCAAGACTGCCAATGAGCCGTTGCAGTGGACCTGCTTTGCTAGCCAAAACCCTGCTTGCTATCGATCGAAGTACAGTTTCACTGGCCATTGCTTGATGTTAGAACGTGCTGTTTTTAACAGGTCTTCTAAATTAAGGAACAAGATACCTGTTTGCAACACAAGTATTGTGGATTTCTTTGAATAAAGTGGCATTACTGTTGGTTTTGAGCAGCCAATAGCAATAGGGAATGGACTTTATCTTTTTATTCGGATTCTGTTTCTGTTGACACTCTCAAACAAAATGTGACAACATTGTAAAGTGACCAGTGGCAACTCTAAACACAAGTACACAACGCTGTGCATGAATCAAGCCAGGCCACTGATAATCTTAAGCCTTGGGGACATAAGAGAATATATATTCTGTGGGAACATTCTGGGAAATAACCGGAAGTCACGATTCTGGGAGCATGAAAAATGCACGGTCAGCAAAATTTCTACTTTCGACTTTTTCGAGTCAACTTGATGATATCACCAGAAAGAGCTTGCAAAACTGAGCAATAGATTCAAAAAAGCAATGTGATCTGCTCTATAGGTAAAACTTTTATGGCCGTTGAGAATTTTCCAAATCCATATTAGGCTTCAAAAATGCCCCCCGAAAGCTATGTTTGGACTGGGGTACCCTGCAAGTTTTTAACTTTGCAAGTTATAAAACTGAAACATTTTGTCTGGCGCTATTTGACGTGCTGAATAAAATGAGATGCAAAAACACCTTTAAAAATTCCACAAAAGCAATTTTGAGACTAGGGTACTTGTGTTAAGTCCTATATTGATGTTTTGTTCTATAACCTTGTAACTATGAAAGTTATACCACTGAAACGTTTTTCCTGAAGTAATCTGAAGTGCTAGATAAAATGAAATGTATACCTAGTTTTATAACCTCGCAAAGGGATTTATTTAGACTGAGGTACCTATACCTAGTCCACTGTTGGCTATCGCACTAAATCTTAATGACTACGCAAGTTGTACAACTGAAACTTTGTTGTCTGCCGAAATCTGACCTGCTTTGTTAGATAGACTAAATCATTTTAAAATATATTTTTTGATATAACATATGTGCTAAATTCTTTATAAGACCTTGATGTTTGCTTATTGCCAGTTGGGCTATGAATCGCTTGCCACGTTTATTTAGGTAAGCTTCAATAAGAAAACCTTATTATCTATGAAATTTGGAAAGAAATGTGAAAGAAATTGCTGAGCATCAACAAACAAATTCTACAAAGGACTGAGCAAGTTTTCAGAAATGAATATTACTCAAAACAGGATATCGGACAATTAACGTTTGTGACAAAATTTTTCTGTCAGAACGCTTTTGATTTGACTGTATATGTAGCATTAAAAACTTGGTTTGAAGATGTAAGTAAAACATTTCAGGGCAATTTTTGGGGTATCCAAAGATAAGAATAAATAGTTGGGATTTTTTTATTCATTTATTTAATGTTGGTTAACAAAATATTAGCTAATAAACAGCTAATTAACACCAACTTGTAACAATAACAAATATAACTAAGAAATAATCGCAATATTACAAGTATCCAATATTAGAAATATATGGTGTGCATAGTCTCCACGAGCAAGTAAGATCCGTCTGTTTAATTTTAGCTTTGAATTCTTTCCAATTTTTTGCCAAGCTCTAATGCTAGAGCTTTAATCTACTGTAAATATTATGGAGACTCGCATGAGCAGCTCCCACATAGTAGGCTGTGCTTCCTATGTTAATATCCATTAATTCTTGTCTATACGGCGAAGAATTGTCTAGAAGAGTATTTCTGAAAGGACATGTAAGACAACCTGCTTTTCCATTCCAGTTCATTTGGTTGGTGAAAACTTTGATATAAATGCTTCATTATGTATTCTTAAAAGATAAGAAAGCAGTGAATTTTTAAATTAGAAATGCATAGACATGCTGTCTTCTCACTTGAAACAAATGCTATTGATAAGGATTATCAATTCAATTTTACAATTTTAATTAATCTTTTTAATCAATCACTTGGCTTTAAATTATCATCTTATCCAATCATGCTTGTACCGCCCAGAGATGACATCTTTGATGATAATCGCATCAATGCTGCTAATCTAAACTTGATAACATTCAAGAATTTTTTGTGGATGTTTTGGAATTCTTTAGGATGAACTAATCTTTTTGATAACTGATAATTAATTTCTACAGAATCTAATGCTCGCTCTTTCTCACCAAGTCCGCAGATAGCTCAAAAGTGGATAAGAAGAAAAATTCTGATACTTTTTGTATTGGAAATTGAAGAAGAAATAAAGGTCAAACAAGAAACTTGGAAGTTCACTGCGTTTGCCCAACCAAAAGTTAAATGTTCGCCATGTCCGAGCATGATGTCTATTTTAGGACTTGGGGCTGAGACCGACCTGCAGGTGCTGTAAACAAAGTCTGGTTGCTGGAGTCTGGTTCAGAACAAAATGAGAAAAGCTTTATTAAATCAAAATGAAGATCAAACACAAGGGACAACTAGCAAGGACTTTGTTTTAACTGGGGGTCTTTGCTGAGAAATGCCGAAAATTCCACGGACCGGACTTCGTCCCCAGGGCTGCACAATCTTTTTTGAGACCCCGGATCCAAGCAAGCATAAATGAACTGGAATGAAATCTCCCAACATATCATACATTTGCAAAAACTGAGATACACCAAGTTTGGTAAAAAGCTTTAATAGGTGTATAACGAATTATACGAATTATGAAGAGAAACACACAGAGATCTATATGGGGAAACCCTAGGACACCATTTAAAACTTGCAAAAATTCGTAGGGCCCCGGGGCCAGTAGTAATGGCAGCTTCCTCATTATGAGTTGACTACTGACCATTTTTGGGCTGGAGTGGCCCTTTAATTATTTTCTTAAAGTGACCAAAGAGGAAGTTATTCCGAGGATAAAAATATTCTACAAAGATAAGAAAAAAGTGGGACATCTACATGACCACTATTTGACCGCTTATGCTACTTGGAGGATGCATAGGCCACATTTGAGGGTGTTATTTCCTCCCTAGTGTACACTATTGCCCCTTTGGGGACCGTCTGTCTCTCTTGGTCGCGGTAACTGAAACAGCCGCGGTAACAAAAATGAAATTCTTAATGACATTGATGTAGATCTCAATTAATACTGAACTGAACACCTTGTTCTTCGCATTGGATCAAAAACACAACTTGCAGCTTAGAAACTCATTTTCCGTACGATTTCTCAGAGCAAGGTTTCAAACCGTTTGTAAACTTTAACATAATTCTACCAATTCGTTTTCCGCTATGTTTGACCTAATACCATGCATCTGTTTCTGTAAATTGTCCCCAAAATTTGTACAGTGTAAAGAAAACAAAAGTGAAGTATGTGTATTTGAGCTTTCTTTGAATCAATGCAAACTTGCAGACTTTGGCAAGACTAATATTAATAAAGACTTTTATGTTTGTATAAGAATTTAAACTTAATCGCTTAATCGACATTGATGTTAATCGGGTAACGTTGGCACTTCATACGTCATAAGGTAATTTCAATGATTGTTGCTGAAACTTCCTTCGATCTCTCATTATTTATTCTAATCAACTACAATTATTAATTCAATTGTTGCTTTACTTAGGCCATGTCGTCGTACACTGTCAGTGCAAACATTGCAGGTTATCTTCTCATAAGCTGCACAATCACTAGTCGCTTTCTTACTATTTCAAACTTTCTTGAATGTTGCATAACTTGTTGGTAGACAAAACAAATGTCCGAGAGTTATTTCGTTGGTGAGAAAGAAGAGGAAAAATAAATGCATGCTATGAAACGACGGAATCTAAGTTAATGTTGAAATGTGTTCCAATAACTTTGTTGCGATGGCATTTAAAAGCTTGGGGCACGGGAGAAGAAGGGCATGAATGATAATTCTTAAGCGTTTGAGGAGCCTGCTCCTACTGCCCTCGTCTCCAACTTCCCTATCTAAAACAGACACCAAAAACTGGCTTCAAAACTTTGCAACTTGATGCCAGCACGCCACTAAACTTTTGAACCAAAAGTGACAAGTGTCCTAGCAATACAACTTCTTATTACAACACTTTCTGATGGAAACCTTAAAACAATTTATTTCATTGACAATTTTTTTGAAATGAAACATATGAACAATTTCCAAGCGGAATGCTTCCCTAAAGCGACTTCCCAAGTTAAATTAATTGAAATTTAACAACCAACATGAATGGTGAAATTTAGTGTGTAAGATATGAAAGAAGTTTATTAATTATATTGCTATTATAACGTTTATATTTTATTGCTAACAAGCAATGGTGTATTATTATTATTATTATTATAATGTGTATTACAAAAGGTGTATGCAAAAGAAGTACATAATAATTACAAAAAACCTAAACCATATATAAAAGTTTTGCAAATCCTACATTTGCAATGTTTGCATTTTGTTTTCTTTGACATGATGTTTTTTAAAAACAGTCAAAGTGACAGAAGTTTTCACTTCTATAGGTAATTTTGCCCATATTGTTTGACCCGTGCACCCTACGGTATCTGTACCATAGCATGTGGTTCTCATTTTTGATAGGTTTAAATTGCTCGAGCTTCTTAGTTGATACGGCTAAGGGGCCCAGCCCAGCCTTCTTGTTAAACCCGAATGTAACCAATTGCTACTTTATTGCTGTGGATGTTTGAGATTTGAGATTTACCTGCTAACAAGATATAAATATGTGCTGCCTAGTAAACCAACGTAAACTTATGAGATTTAAAGCGAAGTTCTTTATGTTAATCATGTTAATGCAAGAGATTTAAAGCGAAGTTCTCTATGTTAATCATGTTAATGCATGCTGAAATGCTTAGAACACCGAAATAGGCTAAGAGATTTAAAGCGAAGTTCTCTATGTTAATTATGTTAATGCATGCTGAAATGCTTAGAACACCGAAATAGCCTAAGAGATTTAAAGCGAAGTTCTCTATGTTAATTATGTTAATGCATGCTGAAATGCTTAGAACACCGAAATAGCCTAAGAGATTTAAAGCGAAGTTCTCTATGTTAATTATGTTAATGCATGCTGAAATGCTTAGAACACCGAA